CCTCTGAAGTGACGGGCTGCTCCTCTGTGAGTGACGTGGGCTGCACTGTCTCTGTGAGTGACGGGGCTCACTGTTCCTCTGAGTGACTGGGCTGCCTGCCATTTTGAGTGACGGAGCTGCTTGCCCTCTGAGTGACGGAGCTGACTGTCCTCTGGGTGACGGGCTGCTTCCCTCTGAGTGACGGAGCTGACTGTCCTCTGGGTGACGAGGCTGACTGTCCTCTGGGTGACGGGGCTGCTTCCCTCTGAGTGACGGGGCAGACTGTCCTCTGAGTGACGGGGCAGACTGTCTTCTGAGTGACGGCAGCTGCTTCCTTCTGAGTGACGGGCTGCTTCCCTCTGAGTGACAGGGAAGACTATCCTCTGGGTGACGGGGCTGCTTCCCTCTGAGTGACGGGGCAGACTGTCCTCTGAGTGACGGGGCTGCTGCCCTCTGAGTGACGGGGCTGCTTCCTTCTGAGTGACGGGGCTGACTGTCCGCTGAGTAACGGGGCAGCTCCCCTCTGAGTGACGGGGCTGCTTCCTTCTGAGTGACGGGGCTGACTGTCCGCTGAGTGACGGGGCTGCTTCCTTCTGAGTGACGGGGCTGACTGTCCGCTGAGTACCGGGGCAGCTCCCCTCTGAGTGACGGGGCTGCTTCCTTCTGAGTGACGGGGCTGACTGTCCGCTGAGTGACGGGACAGCTCCCTTCTGAGTGACGGGGCTGCTTCCTTCTGAGTGACGGGGCTGACTGTCCGCTGAGTAACGGGGCAGCTCCCTTCTGAGTGACGGGCTGCTTCCTTCTGAGTGACGGGGCTGACTGTCCGCTGAGTGACAGGACAGCTCCCTTCTGAGTGACGGGGCTGCTTCCTTCTGAGTGACGAGGCTGACTGTCCTCTGAGTGATGGGGCTGCTCCCTTCTGAGTGACGTGGCTGCTTCCTTCTGAGTGACGGGGCTGACTGTCCGCTGAGTGACAGGACAGCTCCCTTCTGAGTGACGGGGCTGCTTCCCTCTGAGTGACGGGGCTGACTGTCCGCTGAGTGACGGGGCAGCTCCCTTCTGAGTGACGGGGCTGCTTCCCTCTGAGTGACGGGGCTGACTGCCCTCTGAGTGACGGGGCTGCTGCCCTCTGAGCGACGGAGCTGCTTCCTTCTGGGTAACGGCTGACTGCCCTCTGTTCGTGTGGAACCGATGGTCTGCTGTCAGTACGGAACCGGAAGTCCTCAGTCAATACGGGACTGGTGGTATCTGCTGTCAGTACAAGACCGGAGGTCCTCTCTCAGTACGGGACTGGTGATCCCCGCTGTCAGTGCGGGACCGGAGATCTTCTGTCAGTACGGGACCGAAGGTCGGTTATGGGCTCCGGACCTTCGTTTCGCTTCGTTCTGCAGGCGGTTCACGACCAGATCATGCCTTCGGAGACATCACAGGACGCCGACTGGGCCACTCGACGCGAGATGCCCACTCAGTGTAATTGGGCCCATCAGGGTTCCCAGAACGTTACTCCGCGCTGACCAGGACTGCACATCGCACAGTTTCAGCGCGGAGGCAGCCGACACAATGCGGCGAAAGTGCGGACTTCCCTGGATGTCTTGTGGCGAAACTTTTGCCACTGGCCCTCCACACGCTGCCTTCAAGGCGACGCACGGAAAGCATGACGAAATGGCGAAATTGGGCTAAAAATGACTTGGTTGGTCACAACTGTCCCTTTCGTCTGATGTCACTCATCCACTCATGTCAAAGCAATCGTGTAATGGTGCGCCATTGAAAGGGACGCGCAAAGAGCGTCTGAACACACGGCAAGTCAGAGATACTGTTCTTTCGCAGTTGGTGGCGCCGCGTTTTCAGCTGTGAGGTCGCTATTCCGGACCGAGGTCGTGCTGTGCCGCACCGCTGGCGGTGACCGCAGCACTCCGTCTCGTCTGTCGAGGCGACCCGAGTTGGCGCCGTCCCGGCCGGCGCGCGCTCGGCCGAGACGGCGCCAACTGCGGACCGATGCCACGGTCGGAAGCTGCTTTCTGGGTCGGCCGGAGACGTGCGTGACATTCTTGGGCCGGTCTGTTCGCGGCCCCCGGTACCTAATCTGTAGCCAAGCACTCAGCACAGGACACTGTCATGTGCGGATGGCAGTCAGACTGAAATGCATTATTCACGCACACCCACTCTAATGTCAGCGACAGCGTTACGCGATGCGCGCATGGCACCGCCGACCGTAGCGTAGCCGGCCCTTGAGGTGGCCGTATTTGACCGGGCACGTGTGGGCCGAGCCCGCCGGACACTGACAGCTTGTGCCCGCCCCCGCGGGGCGTGCCCGTTCGGCGGGGGACGCGTGCCCAGCCGCCAGCTGTCCGGTCGCCGGGGGCGGCTGTCGAGCCGGCGCTCTCGTGACCGCTGGCCGGGCGCCTCCCGCCCGGCCACGCCAACAGCTCGCCAACGCTGCGGCCGATGACATCACGAGTCGGGGCGAGCCCGGCGTCGATGTGTCGATAGTGCAGCCCCTTGTACGGAGGCTGGGCGGCCGGGGCTGGCCGTGTGGGCATTACCGCACGAGATCTGCAGCGCTGCCGGCGCGGTGCACGTCCGCGCGGACGGCCGTCACCGAAGGTTACGGTACGAGGCCGGGCGCCGGTGGCCGCTCCACCCTCATCGCACGCCACGACCGCTCTGCCTGGTC